TAAAATAGCATTTCAGAGCATCTAAATTTCAAAATGTTCTGGGGGAAGATGACCCCAAACCTCCTGAGAGGCTTGTCCCTTGGGCACTCAAAAACTATTAGGGTCAGCTGTCTACTTATGAATCAAGCCCTCTATTCCCTAAATTAAAGAGAACCCTGAATGAAAATACACACTAAACAGTACAATGTTTCACTAAAATATGACACTTAATGAGTCTAGTTTTTAAAAAAAACTAAAAAGAAACTTCCAGCTCTATAACTGGTGCACTATCATTGTTGCTGCCATGAGTGCTTTCAGTTTGCACTCGGCAGGAGAAGACTAATCTGTCACTCTTTTTTAATCAGCTCACTCCTTTCACTTCCACTGGTAGTGTTTACAGGCTCTCGAGGGATATTGCTACCATTAAGATAATTTTGCAGTCTTGTAGGATAGTCTGTCATAACGCCAGCAACCTTAAGCTTGTTGAAGGCAAAGTCAAACTCACTGTCATCATTTAGCACCCAAAGATAAGTCTGTAGATCAAGAAACAAGTTACATATATTCATGTCAGATTTGTTGCAGTACATACAACAATGCAAGAACATCAATTCTGTTTGAATGAATGATTTTTTTGCAGCAGGCAGATGTATTTCTAATAATTAGAGGTAACTCTACATCATTATTGTAATATGTCATAACTCAGAGTTACTGATAAGTTTGGCTAAAAGTCTGGTCAGTAGCTGATTTGATTTTCTTTGCAAAACACCAGGCAAAGTTCTGTATGAGTTATGATATACCTTCCCCCACCCCNCTTTTTACTAAATTTATTAAGAGTAACTCTTTATCATACTTTTAATTTTTTTTTCGATTCTAGTTTTTTTTCAGTATTTTGCTAGTTTTTTAGTTTCCAAGTTTCTTAGAGTAAAATTGTAGATTGTAGGGATAATTTTGTAAAGCACCTTGGGCAAATAATGGATGTGTGCGCTATATAAATGAATTATTATTATTATTATTATTATTATTATTATTATTATTACTATTGTCATTACCATTATCATTATCATTGTCATTATCATTATCATTATCACTATTATTATATTTATTATTATTGTTACATTTAGAAAGATCCCTTGTCTGCACGTCCGGGCTTCTAACCATTAATATTTATTACTTATTCATGTTATTTAAAGAATAATGTTTGAACTCAATTATATGGTAACATCTTTACCTAATCATTGTGACTGGTAACATGATCTCCAGGAATGACTCCTTGATGGGAATAAATGGCAGTAGACCAGTATAAAACAGCAACACAAGTGCAGCACAACGCTTCATTGAAAACATTATTGGGATTTCTGGATCCTACAAGAAAAAGAACCAGTAAGAACCAGTACATGCAGCACTGTCATTGCCTGAGACAATTATACAATGTCCATTTGACTTTTAAAAGTTTTTGACTGATTTTGGAAAAGAAAATTGCATGTTCTACTGGAGGCTGATCCCCAGACATACATCATGTACATGTAATAAACAGTTTCCAGCATTTTAGCAATAATCATTTTAAGAGCTCAGATGATTAACTTTGTAGATCGCTGTCAAGCTAACCTTCTTGTAACACTTGTCAGTAACTTCTTTTGAAAAGTTCCCCCACACTGTTAAATCCTTTCTGTTGTACTTGCAGATAAGTTCATGTGTCTAGCAAGAGAGAAAGAAAGAAAGCACATGAGTTCTCAAATAAAAATTGGATGTGCACCACAACAGGAACTGTTAAAACTACACATTTACAATTATACCACTTACCTTGTCTATAAGCACATCAGAGTTGGTTTTTATGTCTACATTTATAGGAATATTAGGAAATGCTTCAAAAACACTTTCTAGTAATGGAATACGACAGTCGTCATTCTTTACATCACATGTAACACCTATTGGAATAAAAAATTGAAGCTCAGAGCAACTCATAACAGCTAGTAAGCACATATGTTTAACTTAAATTTATACTTTTTGCAGTCTAATAGTCAGAATAAATTGTGCAATTACCTGGCTGAAACTGAACATTGAGCCTTTTCATTAGAGGTGGCAGATCCTAAAAGAGGAAATTTTTGCTATTAATATTGGTCATAAATAATGGCTCTAAAAGTACCTCATCAGTTTTGATCATGTTCTTTGATTAATTTACCTCATAAACTTAATAATATATACTGAGGTCAATGAATTTATTTTATTTATAAACAGTTAATAAAGATAATTGACAGAATTGCTTTTAATAATTATTTACTTTTCATGATATTAGCAAAATATACATGTATCTCTTCAAATTGATCATTTTGAGATAACATGATCGTGTCAGTAAATAGCTAAAATGTATAAATTTAGCAATTTAATTATACGTCAAGATTTGTGAAAGATGATATACCTTGTAATTGAAATCAGAAATATTGTATTCTGTGTCTGTAACACGGGAAAGGTCGTCATCATGACACACAACAACCTGCGTACACAATGACAAACATGTATACATCTGGAAATAAATATACAGATTACCAAAGGAAAGACAATTTCTAAATTGGTAGAGGACAAATTCTCCAGAGAACGTAATAAGGTCTGAATTGAGCAAGTTAACCTATGAATGACCCTGAAAGCTGAGTCTTTTAAATAAGCTTATTGTGCAATGAATAGGGACTGACAACATTGCTGCTTCAGCTCATCAAAGGATTTTCTTTAAAAAATAAAACCATTTAATTGTTCAGCTTCCAAAGATAGATACATGTTTTTGAGATTTCCAAAATCACGCTCAAAATGGTGACAGTGTCCCTTTAAATCAGTGCCTGCTAGTACCTGTTTATCGGCTGTCAAGCGGACATCTAGTTCAAGCATTTCTGTTCCCATATTTAATGCACTATAGGATGAAAAATGCAATATTATATATAACAGTTACAGTTTAGACACCAACAATCCTGAGTTGGGGGGCACAGTACTCTACAAAGTTTTATACATGGAGGCTCTGCCCCGGGGTCCAATCCCTTACCCTTTTGCAAACCATTTAGACAAAAAAGTTACCCCTTTTTGTATACCTTTTATTGAAAAAAGGTATCCCTTCCACATATCTACTTAAGAACACTGCATCCTTTCCTGAAGTTAACGAACAATTTTATGGGAGAACATCACACATTACCAGATACAGCCAAAAGGTATCTGTGCAAAATATTTTGATTAAAGGCTCCTTTAAATAACTAAATGACAGATTTCCCTACCCTTTCATATACATCAACTTGTGAAATACCTGAAGCCTGAAAAAGGTTCCCTTTCAGGACGAGCCTTCCTATAAAGGCCATTATAGGGAGTACCCCCCTCCCAGGCCAACAGTATACTGAGATACAGAACTGTTGGAGAGAAAAATGTTGCTTTATACATAATGTGCCGCAAGATATTTCTTACTGATGATAAGCTGTCATTGTGTTTTCTAAATTTTCAGCAGCTCCTGAAATAAACAGACAAAGAGGGATACAAAAATGATTACTTAAATTGTCCATCAACCTAGTAATCTATAATAAGGGAGATAGTGTTAGGGCTGGTGGGTTAATTGCTGTTGGTGTATTGGAATTCTAGAGGTCTGAGATTGAGCTTGGAGCCTGGGCATGTTATATACATGTACACTTTTCAACTCTCCTGGGTTGTATGGGAGTGTCTCGACTAGATTACAGCCAGGGTGCATTTTGTGCAGGCTACTCTGAACATGTTTACACAACATGTTTGCTTTTTTTGGGAATAATCCTGATTTGGCATATGTTCAGCATAAACTTCACATCGACTGCACTTTGATTAAGATGCAGATTGAGGGGCTGTCGACACATTCACTTGTTCCCGAATTGTTATCAACTAGATGTTTAGGGTGGGAGAGGGTAAGACAAGTCCATTTTTGGATGTCAGTGCAGGGGGTATTTGATTAAAAGCAAAGTACTCTATTTTAATAAAGTTTAGTACTTTATGTTGCAAACAGCAAACACCAAAAACAGATACATGTAGTTTTCACTTGGATGAGAGATTGCACCACAGTTGAAACACTCAACATTAGAGAAAGAGTAACACATTTGTGAAGTAGGCAGGCAAAGGCCAGCAGGTAAAAGTGTTGCAAAATATGGCCCCCTTTTGAAGCCTTCTACCGATGATTCTGGTTCTCTCTTACTGAATTACTTTCACTGGAAATCAAAACTGTAAATAGAACACAGAAGACATCTGGATGCTTCCATAGAACAGATAGGAGAAA